GCCGAATGGCCTGTAGCGAGGTGGTGGCCAGATGCTTCTTGGCCATGACCCATTCACCGCCAGAAGAGCCTCCTCGTCCTGTTGGTGTGCTCCCTGTGGCGCAGACCTTCCAACCGTCTTTGTCCAGTTCGATCTCCGTCTTGGAGTGGAACGTGGCGGCGGTGACATGAGTCTCCACCAGACAAAACACAGAGTAAGGGGCTGTGTTGACATAACGCTGCGCTTGAGGCCCCCACTCCGTGATGCCACCGTAAAGGATCGAGAAATCTTTCTCGTCGGATGTGAGCTTGGAGGGGGCTGGAGCGGCCAAAGCCTGCGCTGCTGGTGCGCTGAGGTCAGCCTCAAGGCAAGTAGGGCCGCTGCTGGAGGCAGCCTGGTCCGCCCTAGCCTCAGAAGGCCTGGCGGCGACGCCAGGTGGCGAGGGGCCAACCTCCGCCCCGAACGGCGAGTCCTGGTGGAAACGCTCGTTGACCTCCTCCCGCTCCAGCTCCTCGAACGGATCCAGCTCGGCGTCGTACAGGTGCGCCGTCGTACAGGAAGGGACAGAGGCCTGCGGTCCCGTAGATGCGCGAGGCGCAGCCCTCGGGGGAGGGCTGTCATTAAGGGCAGCATACGCCAGCCCGCCAAGCGCACCCGTCAGCGAGGCTTGACCCGATGCGCCCGAAGAAGTGCGAGTAGCCGAAATCCTCGCACTCGGGGATGGCGTAGCTCCGCGCGACGCAGAACGCGACGAACGCCTCGCCTGCGGTGTCCGTGACGCCGAGCCAGGCGCCGCAGTCGGCGAACTGCTCACCTCCAACGGTGCTGTAATTGTCTCGCTTCCAAAAGCGCGCTCCTCATCCGAGTCGAGGAAGAACTCGACTGGGTAGGGCCAGGGGCGCCCGCCGTAACAGCATGCCGACAAAACTCGGCGCGGCGCCCCTCGATCTGCGTTAGGCTGTGGACGGAGCCCCTGATGCTGCAGGGGAGGGGGCGGTGCCAGGAGCGCCAGGAGCGGCCTCTGCGGAGGTGGAAGCGGCCTCCTGCTGAGCGTAGAGCTCATCCAGGGCCGACTTGGCCTTGGCTCTGGCAGCAGCGCGCATGGCCTCGGCCCCAGCTGGAGCTCCTGCTGCCGCAGCGGCGCCAGCGGGCCCAGCCCCGCCAGTTGCAGCAGCAGCAGCGGGGCCAGCAGCAGAGCCAGCCGCATCGCTGTCGTCCACGCGCCTGCGCTTGGCCTCCTCCCTGGCGCGCAGCTTTCGAGCCTCCTCACGAAGCTCCAGGATGCGCTGCGCCGAGGGTCCGAGGACTTCCTGGACCTTGGTCTGGACGCTGTCGGCCAGCTCCTGCTTGATGCGCTCCCAGTCCACGCGCGCCTGCTCGTCGAGCTCCAGGCCAGAGAGGTCGAACAGCGGCCCGTCCACGATCTGCAGCGAGCCCTCGTCGACGAGCGTCGAAAGGTTGATCGCCGAAGAAGAGGGTGGCGCCGTTGACGGCGGCGCCGCTTTGGCCTTGACCTGCTTGGCGCAGGCCGCCTCCCAGTCCTGCTGCGCCGCATAAGCGCTGGCGGCCGCCTCGTCCTCTGCGGCCTGGGCGTCAGCAAGCCACTGCTTGCTCTCCAGGACGCGGGCCGAGCAGGTCTCAAGCCATGCCAGCGCCCTCCTGCAAGCCACGCCTTTGGCCCGCACTTCCTCAAGGAGTGGCGCCTTCTGCGGGGCACCCGCGCCTGCAGCAGCTGCCTGTGCCTCCTTCTTGGCCTGCACCGCCGCCTTGAGCTTGAGAAGCTCGTCGCAGTCCGAGCCAAGCTCCTTCTCGAAGAACTCGAAGGGGTCAGCGGCCTGGGCGGGCTGCTGCTGCTGCTGCTGCCCCACGCGGCCACCATGAGGCACCCAGCCCGCCTGCTGGTAGACCCATGGCCGACGCTGGACGGCCTGGGCCTTCGGCGCGGGCCGGGGCAAAGGTGGTCCCTTGGCGCCCTTGCCTCCTGCTTGAGCCCAGGGAGGAGCCGCAGGGGCCTCTGCCGCAGGCTCTGCCTCAGGAGGAGGCGTTGCGCCCGCCTGCGGCGGGCCCCAAACCCACTGGCCGCGGGGACGCTTGTCCTCCGATGGGCTCGGCACCATGCCGCCTCCGCACTGGTAGCACCAGTGGTTGTTCTTGAAGTTCCAGCGGAATCTGCAGGAAGTGCATGTGATGTACGTCGTCTTGGCCCCTGCCGCTGGAGCCGAGCGACCTCCGCCAAAGCCTTTCCTGCCGCCGCCCTTCTTGCCGCCGCCTCCCATGGCCGATGCGAGGAAGGCTGCTCTCCCAGTGAAGGGGGCAGGCGATGGACTGGGGCGGACCAGCCCTCGCAAAGAGGATGTCGGGCGCAAGCACCCTGGCACTGCCGCGGACTAGCGGTATCCAGTTCAGCCAATGCGGGCTCAGCCCGCACGAAAGGCATCTTGAGCCAAAATGGCTACGGAGGACGAAGAGAAGGAGGAGGAGGAGGAGGAGGAGGAGGAGGAGGAGGAGGAGGAGGAGGAGGAGAAGGACCCCCTCCCCCTCCAACGTATGGTGGTGGTGGTTGAGAACAGGCCCATCAGAACCAGCACGGCGGCGGCCAACGTATGGTGGTGGTGGTTGAGAACAGGCCCATCAGAACCAGCACGGCGGCGGGGACTGCCGCAGGCAGCTGGATAGTTGGACTGCGCGCGGCGGGCCCCGTCGCCCACGGCGACGTACGCGCTGCCCCGGCACCGGGCCTCTCGCCAGCGGCTGACGAGCAGATCCAGCGGCGGCACGCCCACGTCGGCCTCGTTCTGGCTCTCGCCCCGGTGCAGGGCATCCACCCCGGGGTAGCAGGCGTACACGCCCCCACCCCTGCGGAGGGGAAGCGGTCGGGGGTGACGGGCTTAGGGTTAAGTCGGGCGTGTCCCCCTACGGGGGGATTTCCGACGAAAAACAAAAAAGATTCAAAACATACTCCCAAACTGTGACAAAATAAAACTCAAAAATCGTCCCCAGACGATTTTTTGACTATTTCTGAATCTTCCCCCTGTAGAGGGACAGGCCCGACTTAGCGAAGGGGGGGAAGCATCGACCCGGAGTCGACAGCACATCGCCGGCAGCTCGGCGAGAGGCCCTCGATGGCGAGCCCGCGCGAACCCGGGCGCGGCGGGCTCTCGGGCCCCTGCTCGGCGATCGGAGGGCGATCGGGGAGGCCTCCTCCCCTGGAGCACCACAGCCGGCCTCGACTGGACAGGGCACGCGAGCGGACGCAAGACTCTTCCGAGGGCCACATCGCCATGGGGGTGTATCCTCCTCCTCCTTCTCCTCCTTCTCCTCCTCCTTCTCCTCCTCCTCCTCCTCCTCCTCGTTCTCCTCCTCCTCGTTCTATTCCAAGAAGGCACGTGTCGCGAGGCACGGGACACAAGGGTACCCTTGAGCTGCCAGGGTCGACCTGCCAATCCGGGCCGACTGCACCCCCCGCTCACGCTGCCCCTCTTGGTTTCCGGGCCACAGCTCGGCTCTCCGGCGGCCGCCCGGGACGCCCTGGGCACCCCGGGGAGCTCTGTCGGCGAGGCGCAGCTGCTGGAAAGCGTCCAGTGGCTGGGAAACGGCCGAGACACGACGAGATCGTTTGAAAACCTCGAGCCCCGAACCTGAGCCCCATCCCCCCCTACTCCAGATTTCGTAATAAAGGGAGGGGGTCTCATTTCGGGGGGGGTCTCTTCCAGGCTATCTTGGAGGGCCTGGGGGGTCTGGGGACGATGTTTTGGACGGTTCTCCCACGGGGGGGGGTCTGAAATGGCTTGTCTTGGAGGGTCCAGGCCCCCTCCCTTTCATTACGAAATCTGGAGTACCGTTGCCCCTGACCTGGGCGCCACCTGCTCGAAGAAGGTGTCCTCGTCTGCCGGTAGGCTCCAGGCCACCCAGTGGGGGAAGGCCACGAGGCTGCTGCTCCTGGAGCCATGCCAAGGGGGGGGCCCAGGAAAACCAACAGTGGCAGAAGCACAAAAACTCGGAGGTCCGTGCGAACTCCTCGGATCGGCGCTGGGGCCTCCGAGCGGCGCCTCCGGGCGCCGCCCCTGGTGTGCTCCGCGCGCCGGGGATCGGCTAGACGCAAGAGTGACCCTGGGGTGAGAGCGGCCTCTGGTGCGCAGCTTTCGGGGGCGCGAGGGAGCCATACCTTCAAGGGCGTGGGCCGCTGCTGTCGCCCCGTGCTCGGCGCATTCGGGGGGAGCCCGAGGAGCCCGCACCGGAGGTCACCTCCGGCGAAGGGTCACTCTTGCGCGCAGTCGAGGGGAGGGGGGGGGAGGCCCGGCGCCGGTCCGAGCACTCCGCGCGGGCCTCCGAGCTGGTACACCCTGCGAAATGCTTAAGAGATCATGGGTTAAGAAATTCATAGCCTCAGAACTTGAATTAAAACCCAACATTTCTATTAAAATCTTAGGATTGACATTGAAACATTAAGAATAATCGAGACTCGAGTCGAAAACTTAAGTTTTCTTAAGCATCGCCTAAGGTGTACGCCCACGGCCGGACCTGGGACAGAGGAGCATCCTTCAGGAAGCACGGGAGCCTCCGCCGGCCCAGGCCGAAGAGCCCTCGAGGGTGCCTTCCCCCAGGAGGGGCACAAGAGAACATCCAACAGGCACGAAAAACAGCAGGGCACCCTCCCCGAAGGAGCTTCTTCGGAAGCTCCTTCCAGAACCGTCTCGGGCTGCTTCGAAAGGCCTTTCCACGCCCTTCTGACGCCCTGCTATCCGGGTTTGGGACCCCACAAGTGCACAGGAAGAACATCACACGAGCACGAATAACATTGTGGCACCCTCCCCGAACTGGCCTCGATCCTATACCTCGGTCTGGCCGTACGTCGTCGCTTGCTCCCCGCATCTTCCTCCCGAGGAAGCGCCGCTTCCTCGAGGAGGTGGGCCTCGAAGAGCACCACCCGCAGAGCCTTCCGGGACGACCCCGAGCGTCCCCGGGACCTCCTCGGGCTCGACCCTGGAGCCCCGGAATTTCCAAGAGAAGCCGCCGACCCCTCCATCGAGGAGGACCCCG